CAGGAAGCCTTTCAGCAGTCCTTCCTGCTGGGCAATCTCCACCTGTCAGTCTTCATGTCATTTCTAAAATTCTTGTTGTGTTGCTAATACCTTGTGCAAACCAAATAAGTTATCACTTGGTGTCCACACCAAATGTTCTTTCCCAGAGTTTACCTAGAGCTGTGAATGTTCTCTACTGTATGTCAATGATTTGTTTAAAATTGCAGCCGGTATGCTGATAGTCCACTAGTAATGCCCCAGTCTTCAGCACATCTGGAAGAGAACTGTTCTGCAGTTCACTTGCCTATCTTAATCATTCCTAGGGTGCCTTGGACTTTAAATAAAGGCTTTTTCCACGCTAGAGGAGATCTCTCTCGTACGTATAGTCAGAAGCACAAAAAGCAGATCGAAGCTCCTTTTACTAAAAAGTTTGAATTTGGCTCTTGCTCTGACATTAGCTCTCTGCTTACCCACATGCCTCTTTCCTGGGTCTGCATGTAGCAGCCCGGCCACTTAGAGCTTTCTGATATGCAGGTCTTGTCAGCTAAGTTCCTTAATTCTGCCTTTCCCAGAGATACTGAGAGTTGCGTACTGAACTCCGCAGTCTCTGGAGCAGCACCCTGTCTTATTTAATTAAAAGAGGGAATTCTTACAAAAAGAAGATTAAAACTGGGAGTTGAAATAAAAATACCTTGTGATTTGGTCTTTTGATGTATAAAACACCTGAAGTTTAAAGCAATTGTGTCTCGCTTGTATAGGTACATTTTCCTTCTGGGTGAGTGTTGTCTTCCATAGTCTTGATTTATTTTTCAACATTTTCTCAAACAGGACAAGTAGAAAAAAGATTTACGTGGAATGGCTTTTGTATCTCATTAGTAATGTGTGTAGAGATCAGATCTAAAAATTCTGTTTCCCCACTCAATTACAGAAGGAAGAAGATAAGCATGTGGTAAAGCTGAGAAAATAAATAATAAAGTACTTTGTTTACTGAGTTGTTAATTTTTTTTTTTTCTATTCAGATACCTCAAGACGCATATGCATCTGACCAGTCTCAGTCTCTACTGCAGTAAGTATAATACATCACGTAGGAATTCCAGTCAGACATATGGTAATTAAACAATTCTGTTATATTTCCATTTGTATGTTATTTTATTCTTGGTGTTCTGTTTTGATGCAGCTTTCTTGTTTGCTTAGTGAAGGATCTATATTTATGTCCAGTGTAATTCTATGTCTAATATGGTTCAACTGTAACTGGATTTGTTTTTATTGCTGATATTACTGTTAATGGTTTAAGGCCATAAGCAACAGGAATGACAGTAAACTACCCAGGGAAAACCATTAGACAAATAAACAAAAAATTGTAATAAATAATATTAGACCTTTTGTTCTTAGAAGCTATGGAAGGATTTTAGTAGAAGATGGATTTATAATAGAAATACTGAAAGAAGTAATAAAAAATGGGAAGCACCATTTTTTCACTTAGAGAATGAATGTGCAAACATACCTAGCTCCACTTAGAAAATCTGGAAGTCTTAGTTACTGCATGTCCTTGTAAAGAGAAGTATGCTTGTAAAATAGCTGCAGTTGTTTCCACAAGTAATTTTAAGTAGAAAACTGCATAAATAACCTCAAAATACTGTAGGGGTTTTTTTTTAAGCTGAGCAGATTACAATTCTTTCTGAATAAGAACATTTTACTGTATTATTTAATTCTAGGGGTTGGATTAACTTTCCATCACTTCCTGAAAATATTTCTAAGCCTGGTTTTGCACTAAATGGTGCAGTAGAGGGACAGCAAAATAATTCTGTAGGTATGTTCTATTTTGTACAAAACTGAAAGTTGCTGTAGCTATGGCAAATTCATTTGAGCAGCTGAAGATGAGTAACTGTGTAGGCTTATTGAGATATCTGACTGTATGTGGCCTTTACAACAGTTGTTTAGTTTTAATAGTTGCCTTGGACTACACGTTCTGGTTTTGTAAGCATTCTGTTAAGTTTGTTTGAAAAAATAACTGTTTTCCCAAGCCAGTGGTGTATTTCCAGCTTAAAATTGTTTCATTGCTGTGGAATTTTATGACAAAAGTCACAGGCCACGTAGTACTCAAGTACCGGATGGATGTGTAAGGTAAGCATGGATGTAACAGTCATTGAGGGTTCCTACATGCTTCTTACTAACATATCCAAGAATCAGAGACATCTGTAAGAAAGAAGAAACAAAAATGCTACTGGTCATTCCCCAGATCTGTCTGTCACCAGCTGCTGCTTCAGTTGTACTGCTGTTCCTCTGTGCTCCCAGCAGTGCAGGCCTGCCTCATCTGTTTTGCTGTCTCCCTGTTTGAGCTAATTTTTGCTAACCCAAGAGAAAACCATTCACTTTATTTCTTATTAGGAAATTCCCAGGGTGTCACGTGAATGTCAAAACACAGTGATGGGAGCAGGGGGGGTGGGACCAGCTCTTTGCAGTTGCAGTAAGTTACTGGATTGTTTTAGCTGTATTGTCTAGCTACATTGTAATGATGGAGGGCAGGGGATAGGTCTCGTCCTGTGCAATGGGTGGCAATTCTGTCTGCTGATAGTCTTTGGGAGCACAGGCCTCTCAACCACAGTGAAGAAATGTGTCAAAATAGCCTTGGAGTATAATTTGGTGACTAACAGAGCCTAACTAGAAATCTTATTGTCAGTTCCACTTACAGAATGTGACTACAGAAATTTTTAAGAACATTTGAAACTTTAGCCGTAATCAGAAAGTGAGGCTATTTTATTAGAGATGATGAGAACTTTCAGAATTGGAATTCACTGATAATACAACTGAAATATTTGTTTACTCTCTAAATTTAGATATCATATTGAAAGGATTTCAAAAAGATTCAGAAGAAAAGGTTAGTGTGTTTTTGCAACTGAATATATAAAAAATACTTAATTTAATAAGCATTAGAGAATATTTTACTGAAAAATATGTGGTTCTTTCATTTTACAAAGCAGGCACATAGCTGTTGAAAGTGACACTGAGTGCATTAGGTGAAAATAACTTAAGAGCTAACCTTTATTTTCTGCTTTTTGGGTAGGAATTGCAGTTATTAAGCTTGCAAGGCACGAGGGTAGAAGCATAGCAGTAACAGTGAAGTAGGAAAGACATCACCATGACAGAGAATCTACAAGGGCTGTTACTTGAGCTAAAGTAATGAAGACACTTGGTAACTTAAAACATGTTTTCCACCAATGAAAATTATGGGAGGGGCGTTAGGGAGGTCTTTGAGAAGGAACAGAGTATCTCTAACTGCCCTTCTGTTTGGGAGTAATGACTTATTTGTGGCCAAAAATAGGTAGTACCAGTCTCTTTGATACATCTCTTTGGTCATCCTAAAGCTGCTCATGAGGGACAGGTTTCACTGCTGATGACGTAAAAGTGAGGGAATAGCTTTGGAGCTACTTTTTCTCCGATTTGTCAGCTCCTTTCTCAGCGATACTGAATTAGGGGTAATTCCACTCTGTGTGAGCCTTTCTACTGGGGTGTTGCAAGATACTGCCCCTTTTCTTTGCCATGTGTTTCTTCTCTTTCCTTTGGACCAACACTAGCACTTATTTCACCCACAGAATGAAGCAAGTTGTGGGGAACAACTGTCAGATGCTGTTCAGTTTTTTTTTTTTTGTTGACTTAGTTTTCAGCTGTGTTATCTTTTCAGTCCAGCTCCCCAGAAGATTAGTAAGTGCCAGTGCAGAACAAGAGAGGATGTAGAAATACACAGCTGAAGGCAAGTGGAAGGACAGGGACTGTACCAACCCTAATCTAGATAAGCTTCATACAATCTGAATGTTATGAGTGTAGTTCACAAATAATACTGGTTATTTCAGTAACTACCTGCTGGCAAGCACTGCATTTGCATGAAAAAGAAAGAAAATCTTGGAGGGAAGAAGGAATTCCCTGACAGCTTCCAGAAAACACGTTAGCAAAAATTCAACAATATATCCATGAGAACCATCCAACCCAGAAGTATCCTGAGCAAGAGTTGAAGGTTCTGCAACCACCAACATAAACATCCAGTGGTCAAGTGTTCCCTTTCTTCCTCTCCGCTTCCCCTCCCCACTTTTTCCGTCCAGCAATCCCTCCATGCTTGGTTTGCAGTCAGTGAAGTCCAAGCAACGTTAGAGTACTGGCAGCATTTCATGAAGGGGTTCTTGACCTTTGCCTCTGTATCATCTGTATCCTGTCATCTGCAACCACAATGTTACTTGTGTCTGCTCTGCTGCCTCTGCATTGTTGTCACCTTCTGTTGCCCCTCTGAGGCAGAATGCCTTTGTTGTGCTTTTTGATTTCTAGTCTTAGTTCATCCCTGACTGCTTCATTGCTTTCGGCTCTATGTAAGCTGGACAGAGAAACTGTCATTGAAATTTGCTCTGTTGCTGTTGCTGCAGCAAAAAGTAAGTGCTATTACCAACTCCTGTTGCAATGTCATGGATAGTTTTGAGGGTTCCTGCAGCACTAGTGACATCAACTGCATGGGTCCTAGAGAAGTGAGAGGATCTTATTGGGTACATGTAATGCTTGCTGCCATTTGCAGCTTCTTAGGAAACCTCATTAACCTACATCAGGATACCAGTTCCATTATTTCTTCTCTGACATTCCAGTGTGGAGCAATTTAAGCAATATGCAGTGTAATTGTCTGCTGAAATAACCTGTTTAATGCAGAGACCATAGCATTATGACTATGTAGTGCCATAGATTTGTATCTATAAGTTAAAAGTTAGAAAGCTATATAAATCTATTTCACTTTCCTTTTTTGGGGGGACCCTGATTAAGGTTAATGTTGGGGGAAAAACAGTGCTTGCTAAAATACACCAAAGACAAATTTGAGACCAGTATGGCAAATTGTTCATGTCGTGTAGCAAATTTGATTGTATACATGGTTGAGTATCCCTTATCTCAGAACAAAGAAAAAAATATTAAATCCCCTAGGCTATTCCTTTCTGAAAAATGTACAACTACCAATATACAAATGTAATACCAAGTTTCTTAGGCCATCAATGGCCATCAATGGCCATCACAGGCTTCCAAGTAGTGATTTAAAGAAAGGGTGGGACCGACACTGTGACAACCGGAAGTGAGTCACTAGGCATGTTAGTTTTGTGTATCTGTTCCTGAGAATACAAGGTAAATTCATTAATTAACATAATTTCTGCATAGAAGTTCTGAAACCATAACATGAGTCTTGCTGTGTTTTTGTGATTTTGGTGACATAGCAGCTCTGATTTCTGTTAGTCTGTAAATAGTGGGGCCAATACTGGTCAACATCTTTAGTACTGGCCTGGAAAATGAAACAGAATGCACCCTCAGAAAGTTCAGAGATGGTACTGGGAAGAGTGACTGATACACCAGCTAGTTGTGTTGCCATTCAGAGGGGCTTAGACAGGTTGGAGAACTGGGCAGAGAGGAATTGAAGTTCAACAAGGGGTTGTGCAAAGTCCTGCATCTGGGCAGCGATAACCTCAGGCACCAGTACGTGCTGGGGACCAACGGGCTGGAAGGTAGCTCTCTAGAGAAGGACCTGGGGATGCTGGTGGACTGGCCCTGAGCCAGTGGTACACCCTTGTGGCAAAGAAGGGTGGGCTGAGTTAGGAAGAGTGTTGTGAGCAAGTTGTGGGAAGTGATCCTGTACTTTGAACTGGTAAGGCTACCTGTGGAGTACTGTGTCCAGTTCTGGGTCCTTAGTACAAGGAAGAGACACACTGGAGAGAGCCCAGCACAGGGCCACAAAGTTGATCAAAGGACTGATGCATCTTTCATGTGAGGAAAGGCTGAGAGAGCCGTAACTGTTCAACCTGGGGAAGAGAAGGCTCAGGAGGATCTTACCAATGTGTATGAACAGCTGACAGGAAGGAATTAATATGAGAGAGCTAGACTTCTCAGTAGACCCTCTGATAGGACAAGAGGCAGTGGACACAAAAAGAAAGAAATCCCATCTGAACACAAAAATGCACTTTTTAACTGTGAGGGTAGTCAGACACTGGAACAGGTTGCCCAGAGAGGTTGTGCATTCTCCACCTATGGAGATACTCAGAACCTGACTGGACGAGGTCCTGAGCAACCTGCTGCAGCTGACACTGCTTGAGCAGTGAGGTTGGACTAGATAATCTCAAGATGTTCCTTCCAACCTCAACTGTTCTGTGGTTCTCTCTGCATCCCTCATGTCCCAGTATATTGCAGTAACCTTCAGCTCAGCATTGTCACAAAAGCTGGTAATGTTGATCTTTCTGAAGCCTTAACTCTTTTATAGTGGTGCTCTTATATGAATGTGTTGAAAGGCTGAACTTCTCTGCTGTTGTTTGTCTCAGTGCTAGCAGGTACAGGAGTCCATTTAACATTTCCAAACCATTCTTATTATTTACACTTTAGTATTATTCAGTCTTTATTATTATTTATCTTGTAACATTTGCAAGGCACAGTCTGTGACACCAAGTAGCCACCAATTTCTCGATAACTTTTTAATTGTTCTCAAACACATGGCAAAAGAAATCCCTGCACACCAAGATTCACCAAGGTGATGTGAATGCAGTGCCATCTGCTGGAGGTGACAGGACAGATTTAAGCTTGCTCACGTAGTGCGCAGGGAGAGGCTTGGCTTCCTTCTAGGGCTTGGCTAAGCCTGTCTCTCTCACTGGCCTTTGGTGCAGTGAGTTATTAACACACAGTTTTTATATCCGCGGGCAAGTAAGTTGGCTTGGATTTTTTTTTTTCAGATGAGACCTCTGCTTGACTTCTCTGTCCATCTGCTTCCTCTGGTGCAGGGTTCTGAATCAGATGAGGCTGGAGTTGACTGTGGCCTTGCCCAGCTATTACCCAGTGTGTGCTTACTGGGTAGGATGGGGAGACAAGAGACTCTGGGCTGGTGCTAGCAGGTCAGCAGGATTTGTGCCTAGATTATGGAGCACCTTGATTTGGATTTGCAATGGGAATAATTGAGACATGAGGATAGTGGGATTTAAATCAAGGCTTTCGAAGTAGAGTGCTCGTGCTCAGTGAAAGACATTCACAGATGCCATGAGATGGTTGGCATTCAAACCCTAAAAAGAATTAACAGCCTTATGCCAAAGAGATACCTTTTTCTCTTTGGCATTCGTACATAGGAACCCCTTTTTGAAATGAGTTGCTTGAAGCATAGCTCTTCTGGTGGAGGATAGACCTGAACAGGCATTTACCACAATGTTAATATTTAACTCCTAAGCTACTGACTGAGGGCGAATCCTGCTCCTCCTTTGAGTGAAACTTACATGTATTCGGACCATACTTACCAGACTGGGGTCCACAGGAGAAAGAACTCCCTGGTTCAGTTCAGTTCCCGGCTGGCTCAGCCCTGCTGGGTCAGCAGATCTTCTGTTCCTTTTCGACAGGCAATTGAAGGTACAGGGACCCTAGGCACTGGGGCTTTAAGCATCTTTATGGATAAGTGGCAGCTGAGGATGGGTTTTGAGGAGGGAAAGTTTTGACTTTTATTGTGTTCTGCAGGTCTTAATTACTCATAGAGCAAGTCCCATAGGATTTTGCCAACAGAAATGAGTGCTGAAGAAATTTAGGTACCTGTAGTTGGATGGGGGAGTTGTGAACACCAGTCACATTTAAGTGTTGGATTTCAGTTCACATTTGGGTTTTTAGGATCTTGCAAAATTAATCATTTATGCCTGCTTGATCCTTCTACATTAATATAAATGTAAGTTTCCTATGCCCTTCAACAAATGCACCAAGCCTTTTTCCTAGGAAATCTATAATATACATACATGCTGTTTATACCACAGTTCTTCAAGCACAGAAAATTATGACAGTGGGTTTTTTTCTTAATTGTTTTAAGCCTGCACCAATTAGGGAAGTGGTCTAAAAAGAAACTGTAACTCAATACGGCAAACTAAAAGGTAGTCAGTGCTTGAAAAGGAACAATTAGCTGCAAACATACAAGATAGGAAGCAGCACACTGGGAAATAATTTTTCAACAAAAAAATCAGGGATTTTTAATGGCTTACAAACTGAACATGAGTCAATGCTGTCAGAGTTCTGGTCTTTCTGTTTCATTGTGTGTGAGATTTATCAAAAGTATGTTGCCAGTGGTTAAAGGGTTCTTGCACTGCCCAGTATTGCCACTTGCTGGCAGCAAGAGTCTAAAAATGTTTTGAAAGAGATTATCTTAAGATCCAGTATTACTAAGCAACACCACGATTATATACAAATGTTATATAGAAAAAAGAATGTTTTAGGTCTCCTGAGGCATCTGATTTTCTCCTGCAGAAGCATTTGAAACAGTGATAGGAAAAAAAAGAAAAAGCTAAAAAAAGCTAAAAGAAAAAGCTAAAAAAAAAGAAAAAGTGAGTGCATCTGTTGAAAGCGGCTCAAAGTGATTAGGAAAACGGTAACAGTGTTACTTTTCCAAGAACGTTAAGATTTTGTGGTTCTGTACTCAGTATGAAAACTCAAACATGCAGCCTCCAAACATACGTAAGGTTTTGAACTGGAGTTTGTGAGGCATAAATGGTCCATACCTGTGTGGGATCCACATAAACATATAATTAAAAGTCATATATTGTGTTTTATTAAATATGCTTTTTATATTATTGTGAATATGTTCACTTTCATTGTTTCTGGATGACAAATTTTTAATGCCTTTCTTTTAAAGTCCTTTAACACCCTCAGGTCATTGGCAATGGTGTAATATCTTTGACTTTGTACCAGATTTAGTCTCTCTTACTCTGAATTTTCATTGCTAGGGAAGTCAACAGCTGAAGTGTGTTACTTTTGAAACTGAGAGTCCAGTATAATCCTTGTTAAGAAATTCTGTGAGTTCCTAGGGAAGGTGTTGGTCTTGTAGTTTATGCAAAAATTGCAAATAAAATATATGTATATATATGGATGACTTCTAAAGTGAGTATTAATTACATGCTTTTTAAAATAGTTGTTTCATTCCTGTCTGTAAACTTTTTTTTTTTCATGTTTAGATTTCACAGAACTTAAGTGATGAAGATCTGTCTCCAGAAGTAAGCCTCTGTCTAGATACCCTTCTGGAGGATGTAATAACGATTCCAAAGGAAGAGACATCACAAGTTGTATCTCTGCATGTTTCGGAAGATTGCCAGAGAACCTGCATGACCATTATTTACACAGATAACAGAGTAAAAGAATATTCCCCTACTAATGATACAGATCTTTCACTGACATCTCCAGGGAAGATTTTTATGGAAGCATTCACTGAACAGAGTATAGAGACCGATGAATTTGAAATCGGTGATTTGTTGAGATCCTCCAGTGATTCTGAGAATCTTAAAATGATAAACCCATTGCCTGACAAATTAGAGTGTCAGGGTCATGCCTTTTCTCTTGATCCATCAGCAGATGAGAGCAGTGATGCCCTGCCAGTACAGCTTGTGACAGCTCTGAATGCCTTGCCAGCATCTGTAGTACAACCTATCACTCCTGTTGCCCCAAATGAGAGACAGTTTAACACCGAGGGAGAGCAGTTAAATTCAGAATCCAGTATTCCCCAGTTAAATGGTGACTGTATACAAATAGCAAACGTGATTGAGCCTCAACTTACTACAGTTCAGGTGGAAGAAATAAAAGCCTTAACAGGATCTAACTTGCAGAGGACAACCAATGAGCAAGTATATACGCAGTTTAATTAATATTTGAAAATTTTTGTTTATCATAAAATATTTTATGGTATAGGCAAATTACTTGGAGATGTGAATCTTAGTAAAGAATAAGCTGGCATCAATAATTTATGTTTAATATTTTAATTTATATTTTTTTTAAAGTCACAGAATCACAGAATGGTCAGGGTAGGAAGGGACCTCTGGAGATCATCTAGTCCAACCTCCCTGCCAGAGCACCTACAGCAGGTTGCACAGGATGGCATCCAGGCGGGTTTTGAATGTCTCCAGAGTGGGAGACTCCACAACCTCTCTGGGCAGCCTGTGCCAGTGCTCTGCCACCCTCAGAGTAAAGAAGTTGCTCCTCGTGTTCAGATGGAACTTCCTATGTTCAGTCCAGTAGTGTTTCTTCTGTTTTGATACATCCATGTTATGAACATGACTGAGCTTACTGGCATGGGAGATCCTAGTAAAGTTAATTCAGTGACTGACATGGAAATTTAGAATCAGCATGGGATTTTCAAAAACTCCTCTTCCACTGTACATCTTCTATGTCTGATGTTCTCTCCAAGGAAAGTTCCAAACCACTCATCTGTTACTTCATTTTAGCACATTGGCATATACCAGCCAATTTCAACTCTAGGTTCCTACCCCATCTGGTTCCGTTTCTCCAGACTGTAGTATGGTGTTTTCTACTATTGTAGTTCACACTGCTGTAGCATACAAATGCTTTGCAAGTAATACAAAAAGAATTATAGCTCTTTGTTTCCTGTAGACTAGAAAGATTACTTGTGGGGATTTTTTACATCTATGTTTAGAATTGTATTTATTTTGTTTAGTTCTGCCTGTATGAGACGTACTGAAAAAAATTGAGGCAAGGTTTTATGTTCATGTCCTCCTCTGAAGAAGGCAGTATGTATGGATACAAAATGTGATCCTTCTTTCTGTTTTCTTCTCTTACCCTGTGCTGTTCTCTCCACAATGTTATGTCCCGTGCTGTAAAGGTGATCTGGAATAGGTCATTTGGATTCAACAACACAGGTACAAAAATCTGTAGAGGAACATGAAGGGAAAGCA